TAGCAAAAGATACGAATATTTTCGTATCTTTTAGTATCCTTGACAAAAACAGAAACAGATACAGAAACATAATCAGAAATATAAAGAGAAACAAAAACTGAAACAGAAAAAGATACAGATAAAGAATCATAAAAACAGAAACAGTACAAGAAACAGAAGGAGAAGCAGAAAAATAATAAAAAAAAGAAACAGAAACAGAAATGGAATCAGAAATAGAAGCATGAACAAAATCAGATATAGAAACAGAAATAGAAACAGAAACAGAATAAAAACAAAAACAGAATCAGAAACAGAACCAGAAACAGAACCAGAAACAGCAATAGAAAGAGAAACAGAAAAATAAACAGAAACATAAGAAGAAACTAAAACATAATCATAAATGAATCAGAAACAGAAAAAGATACAGATACAGAACTAAAAAAAAAAGAATAAAGTACAAGTAACAGAAACATAAATAGAAAAAGAACAACAAACAGAAACAGAAACAGGAATAGAAACATAAACAGAAACAGAATTACAAACAGAAATTGTAACTGAGAGTGAAACAGAAAAGGAATAAAAACACAAACTTAAACAGAAACAGATACAAATACAGAATCAGAATCAGAAACAGAAACAGAAAGGGAAACTGATAAAGAATCAGATACAGAAACAGATACATTACCATAAACAGAAGCAGAAACAGAATCAGAATCAGAAAGAGGAATAGAAACAGAAACATAAACAAAAACAGAAAAAGAAAAAGAAACATATGATAGAATCTAAAATAAAAACAGAAATAAAAAGAGAAAGAGAAACAGATACAGAATCCAAAAGAGATTCAGCAACAGACATAGAAACGGAAACGGTAAGAGAAACAGAAAGAAGAGAAACAAAAATAGAAAAAGAAATTGAAAGAGAAACAGAAATGGAAACATAATCTGAAATCTAAACAAAAATAGAAACAGAAAAACAAACACAAACACAAACAGATACAGAATCAGAAACAGAAACAAAATCAGAAACATGATCAGAAAAAGAACAGAATCATAAAAACAGACACAGTAAGAAAAACAGACACAGAAACAGGTAAAGAATCAGAAACGAAAATAGAAATACAAACATAAACAAAACAGAATCAGAAATAGAATCAGAAATAGAAACAGAAACAGAAAAAAAATCAGAAATAGAAACATATATATAAGTCAAAACAAAAATACAAACTGAAGCCAAATAAAAAAAAACAAAATAAAAAACAGAAAAAGAAACAGAAACAAAAATATAAACTAAAACAGAAACAGAATTAGAAACAGTAACAGAAACAGATTCAGAAAAAACAGAGAAACAGAAACAGAATCAGAAATAAAAAGAGAAATAGATACAGAATAATAATCAGAATCAGAAATAGAAATAGAAACATAAATTAAAACCGAAATAGAAACAGAATCAGAAACAGTAACAGAAAAAAACAGAAACATAAATAGAAAAAGAAACAGAAACATATAGAGAAACAGAATTAGAAATAGAAAAATAAATACTAACAAAAACAGAAGAAGAAACCAAAACATAAACAAATCAAAAGCAGAAATATAAAAAAAACAGCAACAGAATATAAATCAGAAATAGAAAAAAAAACATCACCAAAAACAGAAACAGACACAGAAACAGAATCAGAATCAGAAACACAAACCAAAACGCAAACATAAACATAAACATAAACATAAACAAAAATAGAAACAGATACAGATACAGAATCAAAAAAAAACGGAGAGAGTAACAGAAACAAAATCAGAAACAGATACATAAACATAAACATAAATAGAACACAAAGAGTATCATAGACAGAAACCGAAAGAGAAACAGAAACAGAAATAGAAACATAATCTGAAATCTAAACGAAAGTAGAAACAAAAACAGAAAAAGATACAAAAACAGATACAGAATCAGAAACAGAAACAGAATCAGAAACAAGATCAGAAAAAGAAACAGAATCATAAAATCCAAAACAGTAATAATAACAGACACAGAAACAGGTAAAGAATCAGAAACAGAAATAGAAATACAAAAATAAACAAAACAGAATCAGAAATATGATCAGAAATAGAAACAGAAACAGAAACAAAAATATAAACAGAAACAGCTACAGAATAAGACACAGTAACAGAAACATAATCAGAAATAAACAAAGAAATAGAAAAAGAATCAGAATCAGAAACAGAAACAGAACAGAAACAGAATCAGAAATAAAAACAGAAATAGATAAAGAATAATAATAAGAATCAGAAACAGGAAGAGAAACATAAATTAAAACCGAAAGAGAATCAGAAACAGAAACAGAAACATAAATTAAAACCGAAACTGAAAGAAAATCAGAAACAGTAACAGAATAAAACAGAAACAGAAAGAGAAAAAGAAACAGAAACAAAAACAGAAAACCAAACATAAACATAAACAAATCAAAAGCAAAAATATAAAAAAAACAGCAACAGAAAACTAATCAAAACTAGAAAAAAAAGAAAACCAAAAATAGAAACAGAAAAGACACAGAAACAGAATCAAAAATAGAAAGATTAACAGAAACAGATTCAGAAACAGATAAATAAACATAAACATAATAAGAAGCAGATAGGGAAGCATAGACAGAAACCGAAAGAGAAACAGAAACAGAAATAGAAATATAATTTGAAATTTAAACAAAAATAGAAACAGAAACAGAAAAAGAAACACAAACAGATACAGAATCAGAAAGAGAAAGAGAATCAGAAACAAGATCAGAAAAAGAAACAGAATCATAAAAACCGAAACAGTAATAATAGACACAGAAACAGGTAAAGAATCAGAAATAGAAATAGAAATACAAACATAAACAAAACAGAATGAGAAATAGAATCAGAAATAAAACAGAAACAGAAACAAAATCAGAAATTGAAACATATATATAATTTAAAACAAAAAGACAAACTGAAAGCAAATAAAAAATAAATAAAATAAGAAACAGAAACAGTAACAGAAACAAAAATATAAAGAGAAAACGAAACTGAATTAGACACAGTAAAGAAACAGAATCAGAAATAAAAACAGAAATAGATAAAGAATAATAATCAGAATCAGAAACAGAAACAGAAACATAAATTAAAACCGAAAATGAAAGAGAATCAGAAACAGTAACAGAAAAAAGCAGAAACAGAAAGAGAAAACGAAACAGAAACAGATAGAGAAACAAAATTAGAAATAGAAAAATAAACAGAAACAAAAACAAGAAACGAAACATAAACATAAACAAATTAAAAGCAGAAATATAAAAAAAACAGCAACAGAAAACGAATCAGAACTTGAAAAAAAAAGAAAACCAAAAATAGAAACAGAAACAGACACAGAAACAGAATCAGAAACAGAAACAGAAACAGAAACAGAAACAAAACAAAAACGCAAACAGAAACATAACCATAAACAAAATTAGAAACAG